TAATAATTTTTCTTTACTAAATAATTAAATAACTAGGTTAGGTTTCAAATTTATTCTTTCTAGTTTTGGGGTGCTTCCCCCCTCTTTTCTTGTCAAAACCCCATCTTAAATTCTGCTGGTATGGAAACATTTTCCATATCCTTAGTGTAAAGGCCCCAGCAAATGCTACCAAGATAGTTTCAGTTTAATCCTTTACAGAGTTTGTGCCGCGCCCCTGGGTGTAAAATAGACTTTGGCTCACCTACTAATTTCAAAGAAAGTTTTTGTGAGGCTTTATGAGAACTCAGCCTTCCTCTTTAACTCTGTAAGATGTTAGTAGCATTTGCCCAACACACACAAACAACTAGCCACCTTCCCCCGCTCCATCTTATTTTTCAAGGTATAAACATTCCCCGGGTCCTACAAAGGGGTTCTGTTTTCTATCCAGTCTGATGCCGCTGGATACAGTGCTATTCTTTGGTCTGTACGTTTCCCCTGCTTGAATGAGGCCAATGCCTTTTGGATTGTTTCCTGGTCAGTTTTTCTTATCTCTCAGCGAACATTTTTTTTTAGTAGAATCTATTTTTATTCAGAAAAAAAAACCCCAAAAAACAAAAAGTTTCGAACCACACACAGGAGGGGTATGGGTAGGGGGCGGTATCTGTCCATCCAGTCCTGCCCCCTGTCCATATGGTTTTGGCAGCAATAAAGGATGTGGGGTAATGGCCAAAAAAAATAAAAATGGTGTATGTGTATGGGAAGGATAGGGGTGCAAAAGCAGTGGGGAGTGGTGGGGTAAGGGGCAGACGAGGTCAGTACTGGGCACGCCGCAGGTGAGAGGCCATTTCATAACATTTCTTGTTGATCAAAGCACCGTGGACACCTTCTTTGCCCATCAGCAGGACTAGCGTCTTGGCAGTCATGGTGACAGTAAGGTTGAAGGTAGGTGCTCCGCCAGTACTCTTGGTGCGAAGATCCATGGTATATTCCCCATCCACTAGCAGTGAGTCCCGGATCACAGAACATTTCTGGCCCCCAAGTGTCAGCCCATTGCCAACAAGAACTCCAACCTCAGCTGGCGTGATGTTAACGAAGGTTTTCCCGGGGACAGCGGCCCAGACGGAGGGCGAGTCCTTATAGCCCACGATGGCCGCGTCCTGACAGGTCCCGTCTGCCATGAGGTTGTCGATGTAGGCGTTCCACCCGGCCATGTCTCTTCTATTGGACTGTTCTAAGTGTTGTTGCTGGGGCCGTGGGTAGAGCTCCGGCTGCTTCGGTCTGGCGGACGGGGGAAGCAGAGAGCTCGGGGCACGCGCTACCGTCCAGACCGCGGGCGGCTCTTCTAGCTCTCAGCGAACATTTCTATGCAGAGTTTTGCTCTTTGAAGAGCAGACCCCACCACTTGGGTTGGATGCATATATGTTTTTCAGTTTAAGAAAGTGCTTTAAGTTTACTCAGAAAAAATGAAAGCCAGAATCATAAAGGAAAGAAGCACTTTAGAATCTAAAATGTCATTAACTAAATTAGGACAAAGTTTAGCGCCAGTCAAAATATATTTATAATTAGTTTATGGAAAAAATATTTACAATGTCAAGAAAAGCACTCCAATTGTCAAGGGGTAAGAATCAGAGATTCACGTTAAAAGATGTGAATTTACAATGTACTTGAGGAGTTGATTAGGCATTGTAATTGATTAAATAAAAGGCAACTGATGTTGTGAAACAAAATGTCTATGATTAATCACACTAAAAAAAACAGTGATCTGTATGTAAACTGTCACTCAAAAATAAATAACCCATTAATAAAATATAAATGCAAATTGTACATTAATACACATCAAAAGACACCCAGTTTACCAAATAGTAATGATTTTGAAAATGTTTTTCAGTGGTTTCTAAACACATATAGCAAATAAACGGGTTGCTACTTCTCTCTTTTTTTTAAAAAACCTATCATTTATCTGAAAACACAGTTTTTCAGTGACTTCTAAGCAGCACAACGTAGCATAAAAGCAAGTTAACTTTTTTTAAATGATCATTTCTCTTACCTGGTATAAAAGGCAGCTTTTTAGGAAAAAAAATTAAAGTCTATCAAAACAGTTTTCCCAAAACAGCTAGAGAGCTTGGAGAAGAAACACCCCCATGATGAAAGGATAGTTTGCCCAGCTCTTTCTTTTGTGTGAATCAGGCCCAATTGGATAATTGAAATAACTGGATTCTCATGGTGAGTGGAGGTAACTTTTACCCATCAGATGAGCTTTTCTAATTAACTCGACAAAAGTACACAGCAGTTCATAGAACTCAAACTAAACTCACTGCTTTTGAGTCAATACTCAGTGATCTTTCTCCAAAGTACAACTAACTGTCTCTGAGATTCTCCAAGGCTGTAAATCTTTATGAGCGCAGACCACGTATGTCATCTTTCTCTCCCGGAGTCGCTGATGGGTTCAAACTCCCGAACTTTCCTTTAACAACCCAGTACTTAACTCACTATACTACCAGGGCACTTCCGCTCACTTGAAAGACCTTTTTTCTTATTATTAGGAGCCATATAGTTGGCTCCGAAACATATGGTAAAAATGGGCTCAAATAAAAGTGATAAATATATATGTAAGATCATAGGACATCCATAAGTAAGGAAAAAGAATAAAAGATCTATCTTACTTCTTTGAAAGATCAAAATGAAATCAAAATTAAGACCTGATTCAGGTCTTTCCAATCACTTGCTATGAATCTAAGAGCTGGACAATGAATAGAGATGACAGAAGAATTGATGCCTTTGAGCTGTGGTGTTGGAGAAGAACACTGAACATCCCATGGACAGCCAAGAGAACAAACAGGTATGTTTTGGAGAGAGTCCAGCTGGAGTGATCTTTGGAGGCAAGGATGATGAGGCTTCACTTCACATACTTTGGTCATGTTGCAAGGAGGGGCTGTTCCTTGGAGAGGGACATGATGTTTGGAAAGGTCGGTGAAGGAGCGGAAGACCCTTGACCAGGTAACATGGTGACTGCCACGATGGGCTCTAATGTGTCAGGAAGTGTGAAGATGGCACAGGATAGGGCAGGGTTCAGATCCGTTATCATAGGGTCACTCTAGGTCATACTCGACTCGACGGCACCTATTAACAACACCACCGGTTGTCTTTTGATTAGTCTTTGCATTTGGTTTTACCTGCTGCGGGTTTGGTGAAGATGTTACTACCATGGATGATAACCTCTAGCTGTTACGCTTGATGCCACTTGTTAAAAAATGTTCCCTGAGCAAGAGACTCACCTGGCTGTACTTTAAAAGACAAATTCCTAAGCCCCAGTGAGAGAAATTACAATTAGGTAGAACTGCAGCAGCTCTGGTGCTGTGCTGCTAACTGAAGTGTTGGCAGTTTGAATTCACCAGCTGCACTAAAGGAGAAAGACGGAGTGATCTCCCCCCTAGTTAAGATATGACAACTCTCCACTGAGTAAGGGGAAGAGATTGCCCATTTTTCTCCCTCGAAGCAACTGGTGGATTTTGAAGTCTCAGACCCCCTGCAAAGTGTAGAGTGGGAATCCACTCAATGAGGGTAGTGTTTTTGCTTGATTTTTGCAGTGGATTCCTGGTGTGTACCTTTCTCACAAGAGCTACCCCACCTCCACCTACCTACCAAAGATTTACTTAATATTTTTCCAGGTTCATAATTTATTGTACAAGGAAGGTGAAAGGAGTACACACAGTCACTGTACCAAAAGGAATTGGCAGACACAGAAGAATTTTAGGAGACAACGTACGAGAAAGAGCCTGTAGTGATGAAGGAAGAAGTTGAAGCTGCTCTGAAAGAACTGGCAAAAAATAAGCCTCCAGGAATTAATGCTGTACCGACTGACATATTTCAGCGAACAGACGCTTCCCTGGATGCACTCACTAAGTTGTTCCAAGAAATCTGGAACCACCTGGCCAGCTGACTGGAAGAAATCTCTATTTGTTGCCATTCCAAAGAATGGTGACCCGACAGAGTGTGGCAATTATCGAAGAATATCATCAATATCACACACAGGCACATTTCTGCAGAAAATTATCCAAAAACAACTGGAGCAGTTCGCCAACAGAGAACTGCAAGATGTGCAGGCTGGGTTTAGAAGAGACTGTCGTACTAGGGATATTATAGCTAATGTCAGATGGATCTTGGCTGAAAGCAGAGAGTACGAGAGGAATGTCTATCCGTGTTTCATTGACTATGCAAAGGTGTTTGACTTTGTGGATCATAACAAACTGTGGCTGACTCAGAGAAGGCTGGGAATTCTAGAACATTTGATTGTGCTTATGTGAAATCTATACTTGGAACAGGAGGCAGAGGTCAGAACAGAGCAAGACACTGCATGGTTCAAAATCAGGAAGGGTCTAAAACGAATAAAATTTAGTAATAATTAAAAAAAAATCAGGAAGGGTGTATGCCAGGAATGTATTCTGTCTCCATACCTGTGCCTGATCTGGGCCATAGTCCTCACAATTGCTTGCTATGTTTCAGAGAGCATGACAATGACTAGGAATGATAGAGAATTGATTCCTTTGAGCTGTGGTGCTGGAGAAGAGTGTTAAATATACCATGGACTGCCAGGAAAAGAGATTCTTCCTAAAGAGGGTGAAGCCAGGCTACTCCTTGGAAGCAAGGATTCTGAGACTTCATCTGATATACTTTGGGAATGTTGCAAGGAGGGGCCAGTCCTTGGAGAAGGACATGATGCTTGGAAGGGTGGAAGGGTGGAATGATGGAGGAGAGGGAGACCATCGATAAGATGGATTGATACAGTGACTAGGGTAATGAGGGTAGGTATTTCGGGACAGTAAAATTGGCACAGGATAGAGCAGGTTTCAGGGCTGTTGTACATAGCTGCAAGCGACTTGACGACACATAACAACAACAACTGAGCATCACATGATAAGTTGACATTAGCTTCTCCAGGTGTGACAAATTAGCAGTTGAAGTTCAGTTTAGAATCCCATTGATGTTGCTTTCACAGCTGGAGTATTTTTAGGCTTTAACTTGAAGTATAGGGCAAGCCAAGCAATGGCCCCATATGCGGCCCGTACACAAGTCATCTCTACCTGTGAGTATTTAAGAGTTTAAGTATTTTTAAAAAAAAAAAAAAAGTTGAAGTATTTTTTAATACCAGTGAGCTGCAGCTGTGAGCTGCACTGCTTTCTGGACCTGCCAGGATCCCAATCTAACTAAAGCCACAAATTCCACAGCCTGTGTCCTTTCTTGGCCTGACTTCTTAAATATTTTGATTGTGCATTTATTAATTATAGGCATTAAAAGCAGGTAAGGTGAAGTGTAAAAGAAAAAAAATTTTATCATAGAAAAAAATATAAGAAAATTTATAAAAACATTTTTAAATGTTAAACTCCTCTTGCACTGTAATATGAATCTCACTAGGTGCAGTGGATTATTTTGTTGTTGTTATGTTGTTAGGTTCTGTTGGCCAGAACTGTGGTAAGAACTTTACTTTCTTAATAAATTTTTTTACTTCAATGATTATGATTTTAATGAAAGTTTACAGAAACGTTAGATTTTCATTCATTCATTGTTGCACATTTTACCACTTCTCCTTCCCTTCCCCTTCAACCAGTTCACTTAAAAAAAAAATTCATTGTTGCAGAATTACCTCCCTCTGCCCCTCACCCTCCGGTCCTCTTTGCAATGTACCTCTTATTCTGGGCTGTTCTCATACGTATAATGCCTAATCATATATTTCTTTTAAACAGTTCTTTCCTTCATTTGTTCCCATGCAATAGTCATTATCTATCCAGTCTTATCCTATTCTCCTCCCAACTCCCCATGTCATCCCTGCTTTATAACAGTAGTGCTATGCGGTATTTTGTCGTTTTGTGACTGAGATATTTCATTCAGCATGATGTCCTCCAGAGCACTTTTATTTCTATGAGAGATCTTGCTCTTTAACAAAATTTTTATACCTGGCTTTGGTATCTGGTTTATTCTTGCTTCATAAAATGAGTTTGTGAATATTCTAGCTTTTCCTATGGTCTGGTCTAGTTTGAGTTACAACTGATGTCAACTATTCCCTTAATGTTTGGTAGAATTCTCTAGTGAAGTCATTTGCATCAGGCTTTTTGTTGTTGCTGGGAAATGTTTTTTTTAAAAAATGTGTGTTGTGTTTTAAATGAGATGTTCTATTTCTTCTTTTATTAGGGATCTGTTTAGATTGTCAAACTGT